AAAGGATGGCAGTTTACCCAGGAGGATGGTAAAAGCGACCACGGAAGAATCCTCTCCAATCAGCAACAACACCCGGAAATCTCCATTCACTCCTCAAAAATCATGGTGTGAAAACCTTGGGGTACACATTCTTGGTTAGCTTGTTCTTCCAAGCATTTTCATCGTCCTTCGTGAAGATCTTCCGAGAAAACAGCCGTCCTTGAAATGTTGTCATGGTCAAAGGCACTTAGACCAGAGTACGGACCCGAAGAAAACATTGAAGATGTCCCATCCGACTCATACGTGGTAGAAGACTGTCTCATGTTGGGCCGTGTAATGGATGAGGCTAACACAGGATCATGACTTTCTGTGATCCGCTGCACCATTTTAAGTGACTGTACCACTTCACCCATTGTAGGTCGCTGGCTTGCTTCGGGAGCAACACAGGCTGCAGCAATAGTGCAAACACGTACAAAATCTTCTTTTGGATACCTTCCCCCAAGCCTTGGATCAGCAAGTTCTTCCAACCGATCCTTGTCTCTAAGAATAGGTCTTGCCTGAAAGGGATAACCACGTAATTATTGTATAATCAACATAAAACTCCAAATGAAAATTTTGAACTCAACAAGGGAATGCCAAGGTATGAATCTAACCCAAGTAACAAGGTTCTCTTGTCCAGTTGGCTGTGACATATCCACTGGTTTCCTTCCAGTCAACAGTTCCAGCAAGACAACCCCATAACTATAAACGTCGCTTTTAACAAGAAGATGTCCAGTCATAGCATACTCAGGAGCTACATACCTACATAAAAGTTTGATTTCATCTTAAAACTAAATTAAATGAAAATGATTAGTATAATACAAGAAAGAATAGACTGAGACTAACCCAAATGTGCCCATGACTCGAGTAGATAAATAATTGGCCCTGCCTTCAGGTGCCTGTTTAGCTAGACCAAAATCTGCAACTTTTGCATGAAAGTTGTTCTCAAGTAATATGTTGGATGCCTTGAAATCTCTGTGTATAACACAGGGCTGTGAATCTTCGTGCAGGTATGCAAGTCCTCTTGCAGCATCAAGGGCAATCTTCATTCTAGTGTCCCAATCCAAAGGGCAATTTATTCCCAGGGGACCTAGGACAAGTCGGCCAATTTCAATTAAGCATAATATATAGTTTCAGAAACAACACCATTGTAGAAAACATGTACAAGACTACAAAGACGATACGAGAAGTTTTATTACCATGAAGCCAGGCCTCTAAACTTCCATTCGGAACAAGCTCATAGCAAAGTAGATTTTGTGATGCCTCACGATTACTATAGTATCCCACTAGTTTTACAAGGTTACGATGATGCAGCCGACTAAGCATCTCAACCTCAACCAAAAATTCTTTGTCACCCTGTTGCCCTCCACTAGTAAGCCTCTTAATTGCAACAGCAGTTCCATCATTCAAGACACCTTTAAAAACTCTACCAAAACCTCCTTCTCCGAGTACGCTTGCTAATTCAAAATTATTGGTAGCTTCTTTCAGTTCTTCATAAGCAATAAAGCGTGTACTGGTTGGATGGGGAAGAGACCCAACAGCTGGCACTGTGCTTTCAGTCCTTGGCTTTTCTGTATAAAAGAGAGCAAACTTAGTAGCAAACCTAGAAGACAAAAGACTAACACGAAAATAATGAACAGATAAGAGTGCCATAAGTTCCTGTATTTTCTCTTCAGTCTGAGTTCATCAATGCACATCTGATTTCTCCAGAAATACTAAGTATATAAGTTGAATCACAAGCATTTCTACCTTTTAATATCTGAAAAAGTAAACTCATGTTGGGTTGAAATCCTAAATTTAAGTATCTCAATAAGGTAAAATGTGGCCTTCGCTATTTTCCTCCAAACAGACTTATAACTATGTGAAAAATTGGCAACCTTCACTGCTCCAACAGCATAGATATTCTTGCTTCAGTTGAAAAAATTATAAACTATATTAATTTTCACAATCAATGATCACAATTTACAATATACACAGCCATATTGAATTCCAATGAATATTTTGTCGTGCAACTAATAAACCACTCTGAAAATACTCATAATGAACACTTGCAATTAATAAGCTCAGGGAACTTCTTCTGTCCTTATTTCTGCGTCATGAGAAAAATTTTGTTTGAGGGAACCCAGGTTGCCCTCTTCTAGTTGATATACTTATTGCCTTTACAACATCCAAATATAAAAAGGACACCAAGCATAATCAGTACCGGCTTTTAACTTTAATATGCTGTTATAGGAATGAAAAGAAGAAAAATAACACGTTAGAAATAGAAATATTTACCAGTTTCCATGGCAGGTGTTTTTGTTTTTGGCCTCATCGTACATAAGCAAAGTGTAAGTACACATACAATGGAAATGAAGAGTACGCCAGTCACAATTCCAAGAATAAGAGGCAAGTTTGAATGCTTTCCCCTGGAAGAAGTACTCGATAATGTGGTTGGAGGTGCTCTCCTGTGAGGAGCTCTCTTAGGTGATGTAGCAATTGTAGGAGCTGCATTAGAACCCAAATATATGTTATCATATTATATTATACATATAATGCACTGATTTCATTATTAACACATCCTTGAAGGCCCCCACGAAGAGGCGGTTGTTTGAAGTTCCTCTTCCAAAGGAGTAAATTCAGAAACCACAAAAAATCTGGTATCACAATAGACTAGTTGAGTGCATCCTCTAGAGCTATGAGAGACCAGAGAAAGAACATTGGACAATTTACTACAAAATTATTTATAACTCATTGAAATTATACAAATATGTGGCAACAAGCCAACGAGAAAGACTAACACATGCATTGAAGTGTAGTAGTTGTGGAATCACAGATGCAAACTCTGGGATTTGGGTTTGGTTCAACTCAATTTTGGTTTTATCTATAGTCAATAGGGATCTCTTAGAGCGCACTACCTAGGATTGTACATCTAAAGCATCAATATTAAAAGACTTTGTTTATAGTGGGAAAGCCAAAGGGACAATTAGTTGTATTGTATCTATAGTTAATAGGGATCGTAGCATACCCTCCTCATGCATAGGATTAGACATCTAAAGCATGGATATTCTTTTATACTAGGAAAGCCAAAGAGGCAACAAGTATTTTGGACAGTTGAGGGTTGGCCGATACAAAATCTATGATAAGTCATCTTAAATTTTGGCTAGGTCTAACTCCACCCCCAAAACTAATTTATGAGGTGAAGATAGTCCAAATCTTAGAAACCCTAAGTCATATATATCTATAATTGATATGGGATCCTAACACAAACCACAAGCAAGCAGAGCTAAACAGTTCGATGTTATGACTTAGAAGCAATATACAAGGAACTATCTTAATTAACATTTCACAAATTTGGATATCACTTTCATAAGTATCAAAGTTACATGATTTATATTTATTGGTACATGTAGGAGAGCTAATATCTACTAGAGATATAACCAAATTTTTGTATATAAAAGGATGGAGACCGTACTTTGTAAACTAATTTTGTGAGGCATATAGTTAAACTTAAAGTTCAATTTCTAAGATAATATTAGAGTCTATCCTAACAAAATTTGTTAGGTCCGTGTCACTTGTTATCAATGTATTATTCCTTAGAGCATCAAAATATCTCTCTTCTTTCCTTACCACTTAGCAAAAACATTAAAAAAAGGATGTGAAATTAAAACAGTTAAATGGAAGTAGTCAAGACAGTAAGATTTACATATTTTAAAAAGTTCCAAATAAACATTATATGTGGCTGTTTTTATACAACAATGTTTCACTGTTTTAGTTCCAATTATCAACAACAGTAAAGTATAATGATTTGTAATGACATGTTCAATGATTTTAGATACCTTGAGAAGGAGGTGGAGCTTTAAACCAGGTTATATTGAGGACACTGTAGTTGCCCACATATCTGCTGTCTAGTTGAACCTTATGCAATGAGAGCGACGAATTTATTTTAGCGGCTTCACTGGCGGAGAAACTGATCCCTTTATTTGGAGTGATATCCATCGATATATTCAATGTCGACAAGCTCAGTAGGTAAAATTTAATAATTTCAATTTGGGTAGTGTTCAGCTCAAGTTGGGTGGCCAAATCATCGAGAAAAACAACATTCCAGTCAGGGTTTAGAGAGACATTCAAAAGAAGCAAGTCTAGCTTTATGGGATAAGCACATTGGCAAATCTCACTGCCTCGTTTCCACACCATGTCATGTCTGCAACAATCTGTTCGTGTTTTATAATAAAATTAATCGAGCAATTACAAGTTTAAAAAACACAATCCAACTAACAGACAGTGGCACTAAAAAACGAATTTCAAGTGAACTCCCATTTAGCCCCTAAATTTGTGAGAGCAGTCAGAAGAATCAGAAAATAATCAATTTAAAAATATTTGAAACAAAAATTCTCATCATTTTAGTCTCTGGAATATACAACTCACTATCATTAGTTTCTAAATTTTATAACTTGCGATAATTATAGCTCCTAACAGAGATTCCGTGACAGCACTTTCCAAGTTCAGGACTAAAATGAGGGTTAACTTAACTCCATTAGAAAACAATTTTGCTCGAATTACCGGAAACAAAAGGGGACAGTGGTGGTTGAGCGAGAGCAGGAATTGCATCGGCAATGGGATGCACAGGGGCAATATTCTTAAACGCAGAACCCGGAGGTTCTAATTGTACTCTTCCTTTGGTGAAATTGGCACGTGATGGGATTGGTGCAGGCAAATGCTTCAACCCAAAAGCATTTGCCAGTAGTGGCAGATCACCATCAACCACAGGTGGAAGAGCAGCTGGAGATAAAGAAGGTGTTTGCTGTTGCAGGGTTCTACCACATTCACCATACTCAACCACAAACCACACCGTGCAAGATAACAACCCAAGCAACAATTTAAACCCACCTGCATTATTTGCCAAATGTCAAACAGACCCAACCTAACAAAAAAAAAAAAATCAAGCTTGGTCTGCACACGAAAACCTATCATTACCGATTGAAGAGGTGGAACCGGCGACCAGCGACATCGGCGATGCCGGGAACGGTTCAGATCAGATCTACGGGGTTGCGATAAAATCAACGGTGGAAATTGAGCTGGGGGAGTGAAGTGGGACTCCGAGTGAAGAAGGTGTGCATGACTGAGCTGAATCGGAGGTGTCACTGTTACCGGTTACTCACGGTTACTTGCCGGTGGCCTGACGGAGAAGGTTTGGGTTTGGGGGAAAAAATGGGTGTGGGTGAACGACGGTGTTATTTTTTGTGGATTTTGGTGTGGAAGGGGTTAATTAATTGTTTTGGGTCCCCCAAAGGTGGTGGCCACCGTTGACGGAAAAAGAATGACATTAACGGTAAACTAACGGTAAGAAGTTATAAGGACAGGTAGCTCTCTTGAAACACTACATAAGTGCAGTGATAAGACGCCTCGTCACGTCTCTTCTATATCTTTCCACGCTGAGGAGGTTTTTTTTTCGCAGAAATATTATTAAAAAAAGTTTTAAGAATATTGGTAAGTTTATTCTCTGAGTATTAGTTGACAATTCCTTCTTCTTTTTTAACTAATTCAAAAAACATTTTTTTGTTTTTCAACATTTACAAAATATGAAATTTGATAAACTACGCCTTTAAAACACTATTTTCATTAACTAAAATAATTGTTAAATTAAACGAAATCTTTAGTGTGTTAGAATTTCAACCTTAATTAACATGTTCAAATGATTTAAGTGAAAAATATTGTCTTGTTTTTATATTATATAAATATTATATATATATATATATTATTTTTTTTTTTTTTTTTTAATATTCTTTTTTTTGTTTCTATTTTGCAGTTGTGTTTTTATTTTATTGGAAGAATAAGAAGAACACTAAAATATATGACATATTATGAATCTGGGAAATGATTGTATAAAGAATAAAATTTAAATGTGATGTTGATGATGACCAAAAATGATCCAATATCATTTGAAGAAGTTGTGATAAGTAAACACTGGAGAAAAGCAATAACGAAAGAAATTGAAGCTTTAGAAAAGTCAAACCAATTGAAATTAAATGAGTGTTTAAAACAAAACTGGGTGCAAATGGGCAAGTGGAGAAATACAAAGTAAGGCTCGTGACAAAAAGGTATGCATAAAGGTATGGAACTCATTACGCTGAAATTTTTGTTCCAGTGACAAGACTTGATACCATAGGAGTGATGTTGAGTATAATTGCTCAATTTAGCTAGGTGGTATTTAAACTTGATGTGAAGAGTGTCTCTTTCATCAAAGAAGAGACTTTTGTATTGCAACACAAGAAATTTCTAAAAGAAGGAGAAGAAAATAAAGTTTATCATTTGAAGAAGCCATTATATGGCCTCAAATAGGTACCACGAGCTTGATATAATTAGATTAAAGCCTATTTTGCACAAGAAGAGTTTGAAAAGTGTCTTAGTGAATACATCTTGAATCAAAATAAGGTAAATTATTAATAGTCAACCTTATGTTGACGACTTAATATTTACTAGGAATGTAAAACTATGTGTGATGACTCTAAACATTCAATGATGTTACTTTTGATATTTCTGATTTAGGAAGACGAGTCATTCTCTCAGGCTTGAAGTTAAGTAATAATATTCAAATGAAGTATTTATCTATTAAAGAACGTATGCACAGGAGGTGTTATCCAGATTTGCAAATGCAGGATAACAATTATGTGAAGAATCCAATGGTTATAGGAACAAGGCTATATCTAAGAATCAAGATATTTAAACAACTAATTGGAAGTTTGATGTATGCAATACTTACTACACTGGATCTAATGTATACAATGAGCTTAATAATCAAATTTATGACCAGTAATACTATGGAACATTGGCTTACAACAAAGAGAGTTATGATATGTAAAAGGAATAACAAATTTGGAAATCCGATACAAGATAGGAGCTGGTAGTAGAACATTACTATCCTTTACATATAGTAATTATTCTAGTGACTTGATGACAAAAAAAAATTACGTATGAATTTGTGTTTATGATGAGAATAAGAGCAGTTTCTTGGGCTTGAGGCTTGAAAGAAACAAATAGTGCTTGCCTTATCTACCACTTAGGTAAAATATATAGCAGCACATTATGCGCTTATTGATAGGTTTAGCTTGGACATGATTATGTGTGAACAATTTTACTATACAAGTATCCAGATATCTAATGTTTCAGGGATAAAATAAACACATTGATATTAAGGTTTTTTTTTTTTCGACATTTGGTGAATGGTGAAATAGTCAAGTTGAGCTTTTGCAGCTCCTAAGACCAGCTTTTAGATATTATGAAAAAAACTTTAAAATTAGAACAATTCAAGAAATTTTGGATCATGATTGCAGCAGCTAGTATAAATGCATTGGCTTTAGGAAGGGAATGTCAGGTTTTAATTAAAAGTATTTTTGGTCTGTTTTTTTTTTATTATGTTTCTATTTTTCAGTTATGTTCTTATTTTATAGGAAGGAATAAGTATTAGTTCCTAGAGTTTAGTGTTGGATAAACGTAAATGGGATCCACACCCTAAATTAAGGGTCAATGTTTTGCTCCATGTTTTCAGCTTTGTTGTTTGGTGTTTTGTGTGAAGCTCTTCTATAAAAGAAGCAAAGAAGAGGAGAACCAACAGAGAAGCAGAAACTAAAACCATCGTGAGAGAAGTGAAGCCACGGTGAAGGAGAGGAAAATTAGAGAGAGTGTGCTTCTGTGAGTGTGAGAGTTTTGTATACCATCCGAGAGTGTGAGATATTTATTGAGAGATTCTCAGAGAGTGAGAGAAACACTGTAATCCTACTTTCATAGTGGAGATAATTTTCAAGACTAGGTCCCTTGGTTTTTTCCGAGGGATTTTCCACTTTAAAATTTTCGGTGTTATTATTTCTACGCTTTCATTTCTACGCTTTCGCATAGTGCCTATTTTAAGTTCACATAGGAGGGAACAAGTACCGCTGTTTCCCAACATTTAGGGATCACATCCTAGTCATGAATATGATCGGTGAAGTTTAATTTTTTCTGTAAAAGATTAAAGAAAAACACATGTTCAATTGTCTTTCTATGCTTCTGTTAGGAAATACTTTTAAATATTTATATAACAAATAGAAGTTATTTACTAGCGTAAGAAATATCAATAAAAAATCTATATATAAAATAGAATAAGAAAAAATAAATGATAAAAATTATTCATATAAAAATATAAAATAAAACACTTAAAAATATTCTTAAATAACAACCTATTTAAAAAACAAAAAATAATTAGTCCATCACTAATTTAGATATTAATTTATAAACTAAAAAAAATTAATGTCTAAATAGGTTTATCCAATCTATTTACTATGGCTTATAATATCTTTTCATTATTTTAATTTCATTTCCAAAAAAATAGCTAACTCTAAAAAGGAGTTTAATATATTTTTGTAAAGCTTAATCGAAATACACAATTTAAAGACTACTTTATATACTAATTTATAAATTAAAAATTATTGATAGTTTAAAATAATTTTTATTATGAATAAAAGAGTATGATTAGATTTTAAACTAGTCTTTAATATTAATTACTAAGATTTTGGTTACCAACCTAACTCTAAAGAGTAATTTAATACATTTTGTAAAGTATATTGTATAACCGATCATCAATGTACTTTCTTACGACAACCAATATACCAACTTCCTCGAAACTAAACATCTTGCCAAACTTGGAGAGACCTATATACATTATAATCGGTCGATCTACGTTTTAGGGGTGACCGATCGTTAAGTACAATGTAAATTACTCTTCATAAAGCCTACATGATTAACAACAAACATACTTATGAACTCTTGGGTCGTAATTGGATCAACACTAATTAAAAGCTCACTTCAAAACCTATAAAAGGTAAAGATGTAAGTGATTACATTTATTGTAAAATTAATACTCATTGTTATAATTGATCTAATTCCGTAACTAACTTGAGAATTAGGATGACTTTGACAGGTACATCACTGCTGGACTTGAAGACTGAACTAAGAATATTGAGAATAACGATATCGAGAATAGAAAGTGACAAAGGAAGATCGACAATTAAGTGTACAGAAGTAGTTTTTGACTTCACTATCCGAAACATAAAGCTTAATCGAAAAATAAAATCCTAGTATACTATTTAACCATCATCAGTGGTTCTATGGAAACTTTTCATAAATGAGTTTTCACAACAGTTGTGTACGAGAGATTAATGGTAAACATAATTTACACATGTAATAGAAGAAAAAATATGTATAAATGCTTGTTTTATATTGATTTACTTAAGTTTAACTATGTTCAATTTTTTTTTTCAATAAAGTCTTGAAAGGTTGTATTACAATAAATTTATTACAAACAAATAATATTTGCTATCATTTTTTACTTACAAAAGTATAGAGTGATTTTTCTAATACATCCTTGTTTTCTCCTTCTAAAATAAATAACACAAAAGGTAATGATTAATGTAAAGAAAAATTCTCAATGCATAGGTTGCTACTATTTTTTTTTTTTTATAAGAAGTTCTAACTAATGTTGGAAAGTCTAAGGAGTAAGACTATTTACCAATGAGCCATCAACTAATTACATAAGAAAAGATAAGAAAACAGTAAACCAAACTCTTTAACATAAAAGGTTTGTAAATCTTTGCCACTTTTATGTTTGTTAACTTGTCCATATAAACAATATAAGATTCTACGCACTTAAAACTTCAACATAATTTTCCAGCAAAGTGTTATCAAAGTCAACGTCAGTTTTAGGCTCTGTTAGTTTAAATAGATGTTACTGATTAGACCAATTATCGCAGACGGATATACTAGATAGAATATGTTTTAATTTAAGAATTTGAGAGAGAATGCAGGAGCCAATTTTCAGGATCACCTTCGTAATAATGGATCTCACTGACCTCTTTTGACAATGCATCATCTCTCTCTGTATATAAAAACTTTTCTTGGCAGGGTCTAGGTTTAGGCGAATAATACGACAAGCAAGAGTCATTATTGAGTATTTACCGACAAACAAGAGCTTTCGCTCAAAGGAAGCTTATAATCACACTTAAAAAAGAGATAGTTAGAGTTTAAATACGAGTTGATGTCATCAATATGAAATATTACAAATTAAACAATGCACCAGTATGAAGGATTCATAAATATAAGTTTTAAGTTGAAGATGTCAAGTTCTCTACTGTTATTCATTAACGAAGATCTCCCTAGTATTTTCTCGTCTTTGATTTCCCATCAATCAAGTTAAATTTTGGACTAAACCATCAAAAGACAAAATACGTTTTTGTATTATATCATTATCGTAAAATGTCTAAATCCAGGAGATTAAATATCAATGTATTCAAGTACAAAATATCAGCACTCCATAT